TAAGCAAGCTTCCGCGCTGGAATTTTGCCAATGGGTCCCCCAGACAAGTGCTACCCCAGGATCGTAGTACCGACGTTCAGACACGTTTGGGCCCCGAGCGCCAGTATGGGAAAGTTTTGGCGGAAAAATCGCTAATTCGGGACCAGAAAAGCTGAGAGACTGAAGTTTTAAGGGAAAGTTTTCAGCTATCATACAACTTAAGGATTTCAGATCCAGCCCCTGGTGTGCGTGGTTCCCCCATTTGGCCCTGTGAAAATTTTTGGCGCGAAAATCGTTAACTCGGGAACTAGGAAAGCTGGGGGATGAAATTTCGAGGGGACGTTTTTAGCCGCGTGCAACTTAAGAATTTTCAAATTTAGGCCCCAAGACTGTGGGATGTTCGCTGATCAAATAACACGTAGTTGCACAATTAACTTCCTGAACTTCATGGATCAATATGTATGGCCCCGTATAAGTTTTTGGCGGAAAAATTGTTAACTAGGAAACCAGAAAAGCTAAAAAGTTAAAATTTTGAGGGATGTTCGCTGATCAAATAAACGAGTTGCACAATTAACTTCCTGAACTTCAAGGATCAGTATGCCGCAACTTCTAGCTTCTGGGACTCCAAGCGTTATTACTGCAGCATGAAATATTGCAAAAACGCATAATCACACGGGCCTGCCTGTTGCGCGTCGCCATTGGGTTTCTGTAGAAACAGTAGTGTTTTACAAAAGGCGTGCACTTTTGTATGTTTTAGAAGCATCTTTATCCATTTTTATCTCGTATTCCCTTAATTTTGCAAACATTCCGCGGAGAAGTCATTGCATTGTAATGCTTATCCTCGCTTCCTTTTCTTAACAGTTACATCACTTTTGTCGCAGAAAACCATCATTTGCTATAGTAAAGATGGGGCACTCTTATTTCCTGGTGGTCGTTTGTGGCGCGCTGGCTAGCAAAATGGCTTTTATTATACTTACAAAGGGTCATTAACGGGAGTATAAAATAGACAAGAAAAGAGGGGTTCATATAGTGGTAATTTTGGTTATAAGTCGAAAAGGAAGTCAGAGATTAAAATTTAATATTTAAAATTAGCAACTCATATTAACACTATGTATTGTGTTGGCGAGACGACATCATATTAAAGCTTCGATTGCACACTCGTTTCGGTCGATTTTACTGCGTAAGTTAAGAATGTATTAAAAATGATTGGGTTTGTTTTAGACAATGTGGAACGGCTGATTGCGGAGTTGGGGCGCGAATCGGAGATCAGTAGGAAGCAGACAAACCAGAAACGTCACTAAAAAAAAATCTCATGCCATGAAATCGATAGTGAATTCAGCATCGTGGCTGTATTCGTTTCGTTATTATTTTGTACGATTCTCACATATATTTCACCGGCTCATTTTGAACTTCTGTTCTTTCACACAGCCTGTTCTCATCTCACACTGTAATCTCTGCACTATGCTTACTAGCCGCCATATGTGTCTATTATCCCTTAAGTTTTCTTTTTTTTTTTTTTTTGTTGGATGGAAGTTATTTTTCAAAGCTTTTGTAAACATTCCGATCTGCTGCACACGATGAATCTTCTCTTCTTCTGCTTAGATTTCGCCCTTTCAAAGAGCGTTTTTTCGTTGTTCCTTTCAGCAACTTATTTGTGTAAACTGTATAAAATTTAAATGTCCTTAAATTTGCTAGGCCCGATACTCACATATTTGGAAAGCGCCTGACTTCTAGCCCTCCTTCAACCGTAAGATTCTTTGGGGTGCTTTGCATCTTATTCAAGTAGCGATGGAGCTCAGTTTTGCTTACTTGTCCAGAGACAGTTGAGGGATCCACTGAACTGCGCATGGCTCCCCTGTTGCGCAAATTTTATTTAGAAATCTGTAAAATTTGTGCGGTACAACTTCGGGGAAAATGTGAGGGCAGGCTGTGAGGGAAGGTTTTGGGTGGGGGTGAGTATTCGTTATTTCACGCAATTTCATATTTTTACATCTCGCTATTCATACGTTTTTGTAAATATCTCTAGCACTGTCTGCATGGCGCCGCTACGACCATTTGCTGCACTGTTCCAGCTGTATCCCTTAAGAGTGTTGCTGAACTTCAAGTTGGTTAGGTACTACTGATCTTACTGTTCCAAGAAAGGGGCTGCAATTGGGCTTCTGCTACCCTCGGATTGGGATGCCCAGTGATAAATGCCCAAAATGGTAAAAAGGAGAAGGGGATATCAACACGGGAAAAATACTTGCGCGAAAAAAAATATTCTTGGAGCAATGCACCAAAAAAAGGCTTTTTTTGTTGCTTGCGTCTTTTTATATGTATTTATGTATGTTTGTCATCTAACAACACTGACATTTTTGGCATACATTTTATTGCATTGCTGTATTTATCCCATTTACGAGAAAGTTTCTGAAACAGAATTTTGCATGAACGGTACATATGTATGTATGCATGCTTGTGTGTGTGTGTGTGTGTGTGTGATGTAGTATGCATGCCTACGTGCTTGCGTGCGTGTGTGTACGTATGTGTATGCGTCGGTATGTATGTGTAGGTATGCATGCATGCTTACGTATATAGTATATGATGTATGCATGAGTGTGTGTGCACACATGCGTGTATGTGTGTGTGTGTATGTGGTGTATATCATGCAACATGCATACGTACGTGCTTGCGTGCGTGTGTGTACGTATGTGTATGTGTCGGTATGTATGCATGCATGCTTACGTACGTAGTATATGATGTATGCATGAGTGTTAGAATGGGTGTGTGTGTGCGTGTGTGTGTGTCATTGATTTTTTTGATGCAAATTTGGCTATTGTTT